TTTTTTTAAAAAATGTCGATATCTTTCTTGATGTGTCACCTCAGTTGATGTGGCCCTTTCCGCGTTCATACGCAAAACCTTTGTGTCGGTACTTATTCTTATTTTCTTCAATGAATAAAAAAGAATCTCCACATTCTTTCTTTTATGAAAAGGGATTCATTCTATACGGGAATGCTGAATGCAGCACCGCACGGATCTTAATCACGTCTATTATTCCTTCTTTCCCTTCAACAACAACAACAGCAACAACAAGGCTAAATCAAAAACTGATACACGCACAAAACGCACCGATGCCAGGGTATAAACCTCCACACATATGAGGGCAGTAGAGGAGACCAGAGACGGCATGGCTTGATTCTCCTCAGCATTGTTGCTGAATTCTAACTGCTCTTCTTGCCCTTATTCTTACTGGGGTTGCCACTGCTGACGCTTAGGTCGTCACTGGCGTTCTCTGCGGGGTACCACACGGGTGTCTTCGGAAGAGCGTTCTCCTTGCTGCGTCTGTAGCTCTCAGACATATAATCGCTCAACGCGGGTGGAAATATTTTGGGGAACTCGTCCTTGATGTATGGTTTGGACTTTGTGTACAAAAATCGCACCTTTTTCTTCGTCTTTTCATCGATGACAAACGAAAATAATTTCCAAAGAATGCCAAACGCCGTGGGCGCGTTAACGAGGACCATAAGCCCCAGCCGTTCGGGGAAGTGATCTTGGATCGTGTGGATCACGGCGGATCCCATCTTTGGGCTGCTGTCCCTCGTGTGTGAGTACGTCTCAAAGTCCGTCACACAGACCCATTGCTCTACACCAACGGGCATGAGCTTCACCATATGGTTGAAGGCGCACACGCAGTGCCGCAGCGGATTGGTGCGCTCCGGGCCCCACCGCATTGCCATGAAGCAGACGGGGCGGTGTAGCAAGTCCCACCCCGCGAACTGCATCATGTGCTGGTCAGGGTTTGTCAGGCACGTGTCGCACACCCAGTTTTCTACAGTGTTCTCGTTTTGCCAACGTACGGAACGCTCCAGCATTGCGAAGGACTTTTTTTTGTCGAAGTTGCGGGCCCTGAGATAGCGGATAAGCAACCAGTCATCGTGCTGAGCCTCGTTATACCATGGAGCGCCCTTGACCAACTCCCTGAATGCAACAAGCACATTCTGCTCCTTCGCCGACAATTCCTGTAGATGCTTCTCCAGCGTCTTCACAACGGCAGGCGGTCGCACCTTTGCAGCCTCCTCTTCTGTCGAGAGAAAGTAGGGGACCTGGAACCCCTTATTCTGCCGCGGGAGAAGGAAGAGATCGCTCGGCAGAGACGAGCTCTCCGAAGCGCATGTGGTACTCATTGACGCAACTACCACTACTTAGAATGAAAATACGAACGAAAAGGAAAAAAAAAAAGAAAGACCCCTCAAACAAACCAAGCAGAAATAAATACAACCAATTCTCAAAAAGTAATGCAGGTGATAGTGAAAACGTGATACATCGTGGGGAGCTGGCATGACGCATCATCTGTGCCACGGTAAGGAAAGTAAAGAGAACATTATATAAATAAATAAATAATTACGCACACACACGCACATATATATATATATATATATACCTAACACAGAAAACAACACCAGCAGTAACATCTGTGCCAAGTTGTTTTCTTTTTACATGTCCAAGGGGGTGGAAATTCAGAGCACATTCCTTTTTTTGTGCCCACCTCCTGCCTAGACCAAACTATTATGCCTCTGCATCCGATAGAACCACTAGCTGCTTGGTGCTGGCTCCTTTTACTTCATCCAGCTGCGGTCGCAGGGTGTCCCATTTAATACGACGGAAAAAAACAAAAAAATATGCGGGTATTCCCACCAATGAACACCCTACCACAGGCCCTATCCACAATGATTTGACACCGTAGTGAAAGTGGAATAAAAGATAGAGTCCCAGCGGGGTACCTATGATTGTAAGACTCACAAAAACAATGATAACGCCCGTAACCTGTAGACCACAACCACGCAATATGCCGAGAAAATTGCACTGCATTGTATCCAAGACGTGGAAACACAAAAATAAGGGTGTTAATTCCACGAAAATGGCCACAACTTCAACATCTTCCGTAAAAATATATGCAACTTGCTCTCTGTAGCTATAGACGACGAAGGCATTGAAAAAAGCCATCCCCAGCACAAGAGCAGAGGACATGATGGCATATTTCTTTCCAAGTTGCGGATATCCCTCGCCCACAGAGTTCCCCACCAAGACGGTAGTGGCCATGAAAAAGCCAGACACCGCACTCCAGCAAACATTTGCAACTTGGCTACTAATGGCATACGCAGCCAGCTCTACAGAGGTCAAAAATCCAGCACACACAGAATTTACCTCCATTGCAGTCCACTCACTGAATGCCATGCCGAGGGATGGAATGGCGAGCCTCAACAGGGGGCCCCAGTTTTGCAGGGCCGCACTGCTCCAACCACCCCACGTGTTGCGATATAAGCCACTGAACCACAGATAGGCAAGAAGTGCAGCATCCATGCCAACCATCAAAAGCACCCACCCCACCGCGATTCCTCTGTATCCCCAAAGACTAACAAATATGTACTGTAAAAGAGGGTTGATCAATGCTGCAACAGCTAGTACAACGAATACAGGATTTGAGCAATGCTGACTTGCATAATACCGGCGAAGAAGCTCTAGCAGCATTATAGACGGTAGTCCCAAGACAGAGATAAAGCAAAATGTTCCCACATCCGCCGCTACTTCATCAGGCTCTCCAATAGCCTTCAATATAGGCTCCAAGAGGCACAAGAGAAAGGCCAGGGGAATGGCAAACAACATGAGAATGAGAAACATGCGCTGCGCATAAATGCCGTACATTGTGCTCCGCGGGTCCATGCCGTAGGAATGCGACAAGAGTGTCTCTAGAGCTCCACAAAGTCCACTACCAAAAGCGAAGCCAGTCGCATTCAATATACCAAGTGCAATGGAGATCCCACCGAGCTCATGGACTCCAATATGACCTGCGAAAAAGAACATGACAATCAGAAAACTAAATTGTGAGAGCTGCGACGCTGACAGAGGCAACCCGATGCGGAGTAACTCATGAAAGAGTCGCCTCGGTGAAGGCTCTGGATGGTCATCCCAGTCATAATCGTTCACAGGCGGCAGCTTCTCAGCCAGAGGCATGACGAACCAACAGCCTTCGCTATCGTGACGGTACGCGTGTCAGGATCTTAGCGCAAACAACAAACCACTCTTAAATATTCGTAGCTGATTTGTGCATCACAATCAAAGCAACACGAAAAAAAAAAAAAGCCAAGAAAGAAAAAAGAAATGGGCCGAAGAAAAACAAAAACAAAAGGACATAGGAGTCCATCGGTGAGATTTGACAGAGAAAGAGTGATACACAGAGAAGCATGGGAAATGAAACATGCCAAGGAACATCTAATAAATCATGCGCCGTCACATTTCGTTTTATTTCGCTCTTACGTACGTTGTTGTGTCACTCCCTTCCAGGCGGGGGATCCATGGGAAGAGAGGCAGCTTCCCCATCCTTGGTTCCGTTATCGGCTATCTTGTCTCTCTCCCCCTCCACCACCACATCCTCCTCCTCCGCCTCCTCCCCTAATTCCTCTTCTACTATTTCCGCTGGGAGGTTGTGTGCGTCCTCCTGGTGCGGCTTCAAGTTGGGCCAATCGATATGCCAGTACAGCAGGTAAATGTAGCATGGAGCACCGAAAAGAGCGACACCAGAGAACGGCCCAATCCACAGCGATTCGACACCATAATGTAGATAGAAGAAGAGAAAAAATGCAACTGGAGCACCTATCACACACAGTGCGACGCCAATGATGATGGCACCAGTCTTCTGCAATCCGCATCCACGCAAAATACCCATAACGGTACTCTGGAACGTATCAACCATATGATACGGAAGTACGAAACGCATCAAACGACGATACACTGGAGTGACCCTCTCATCAGTTGTGAAGAAGGACGGAATGTGGTCCTCCAACAACCAGCAGAGAATAACATCAATTGTTGCCGTCGTTACCGCCAACATAATTGCCACATTAGCTATACGCTTTCCCAAGAGGGGCTTTCCCTCGCCGATGACGTTACCTATAAACACACACACAATAATAATAGTCCCAGAGGCGATGGCCCAGCATAAACCAAAGACCTGCATGGAGATAGAAAAGGCTGCCAACTCATGCGGCTCCGCAAAACCGGCACAAACAGAAATTACCTCCAGCACAACCCACTCGCTCATCATCATTGCCATTGAAGGAACAGCTAACTTCACCATTCCTTTTATATTCTTCAATGCGTTGCTATCCCATCCATTCCATGTCTGCTTGTAGAAACCAGACTTGTACGCATAACCTAGAAGTGCTGCATCAACAAGAGTAAATAGCATCATCCACGCCACTGGGGAGCCGTCAAACCCGAATATTTGAATGAATATAACCTGCAAAACAGGATTAAGCAGGGATGCTGCCACCATCGCCACCGAAAGAGGCGTGGTTACGTGCTGACAGGTGTAGTATCGACCGATAAGCTGAAACATTTGCGTACTTGGGATACCGAATGCAGCCAAACGGCAAAAACGTCCTGTAAAGTAAACCACCTCTGGTGTTTGCCCAATATATTCTAAAAATACATCAATGTAGATTACAAGACAACCTATTGGAATACTGAGAACGAACAAAATGATGGCCATGCGCTGGGTGTAGGTGCCGTACATGTGCATCGCACCCTTTCCCCCTGTTCGCGCCTGGTTCATGCCGTACGTGTGTGAGAGCACCGTTTCTAGCGCCCCGCACGATCCCGCAGCGAAGGCAAATGCCGTAGCGTTGAGGAGCCCGAGTGCCAGTGCTGCTCCACCGAGTTCGTTTACACCCTCGTACCTTCCAATCACGGCCAAGATGACGGTGATGATGGAGAACTGTGAAACCGTTGCAAGCGTGAGTGGGGCACCAGTGATAAAAAACTTCTTTACAATCGATAAAGTGGATACATTCTCCGGAATGAACTCTGCCTCAGCGCCAGCTGCGCTTACAACGGTGGCAAAGGATTCGTTTGTCACCGCGCGGAGGTTGGACGACATCTCCTACTAAGCCTTCCTCCCCCACGGCGTCACGGTGAAAGAAACGCAAAGACTCCTTCCCAATCCTATTCTTTCTTAAAAACAAAGCCAAAAGAAAGAAAAGCCAACACGACACAAGAAGCATAGACATGGTATTCCTATGCAGAGTACCCGACCACACATCAAAGCGATGTGCACAGCAGCAACAACAGTCTTTCGTGGATTTGATTATGGCACGCATAGCTGCTTGGGTTTTGCACTCCTGCTCGTTGCCCCACCACACACCCAACTGCAGATACAAGGG